GATTTTTGATGGGAAATAAAAGTGATCACAGATTAACGTTGTTTAGGCTCTATCTCTTCTAGTTTCCAAAATAAATGGACTTTAATGTTTTCACTCAAAAATCCGATTTTTGAAGGAAAATAAAAGTGATCACAGATTAACGTTGTTTAGGCTCTATCTCTTCTAGTTTCCAAAATAAATGGACTTTTATGTTTTCACTCAAAAAATCGATTTTTGATGCGAAAAAATAGATTTTTGATGTGAAAATATCGATTTTTGATGGGAAATAAAAGTGATCACAGATTAACGTTGTTTAGGCTCTATCTCTTCTAGTTTCCAAAATAAATGGACTTTAATGTTTTCACTCAAAAATCCGATTTTTGAAGGAAAATAAAAGTGATCACAGATTAACGTTGTTTAGGCTCTATCTCTTCTAGTTTCCAAAATAAATGGACTTTTATGTTTTCACTCAAAAAATCGATTTTTGGTGTGAAAATATCGATTTTTGATGGGAAATGAAAGTGATCACAGATTAATATTGTTTAGGCTCTATCTCTTCTAGTTTCCAAAATACTATAAATGGACTTTTATGTTTTCACTCAAAAAATCGATTTTTGATGTGAAAATATCGATTTTTGATGGGAAATGAGAGTGATCACAGATTAATATTGTTTAGGCTCTATCTCTTCTAGTTTCCAAAATAAATGGACTTTAATGTTTTCACTCAAAAAATAGATTTTTGATGTGAAAATATCGATTTTTGATAGGAAATAAAAGTGATCACAGATTAACATTGTTTAGGCTCTATCTCTTCTAGTTTCCAAAATAAATGGACTTTTATGTTTTCACTCAAAAAAAAAATCGATTTTTATGTGAAAATATCGATTTTTGATGGGAAATAAAAGTGATCACAGATTAACATTGTTTAGGCTCTATCTCTTCTAGTTTCCAAAATAAATGGACTTTTATGTTTTCACTCAAAAAATCAATTTTTGATGTGAAAATATCGATTTTTGATGGGAAATAAAAGTGATCACAGATTAACGTTGTTTAGGCTCTATCTCTTCTAGTTTCCAAAATAAATGGACTTTAATGTTTTCACTCAAAAATCCGATTTTTGAAGGAAAATAAAAGTGATCACAGATTAACGTTGTTTAGGCTCTATCTCTTCTAGTTTTGAAAATAAATGGACTTTTATGTTTTCACTCAAAAATCCGATTTTTGATGTGAAAATATTGATTTTTGATGGGAAATAAAAGTGATCACAGATTAACGTTGTTTAGGCTATATCTCTTCTAGTTTCCAAAATAAATTGGACTTTTATGTTTTCACTCAAAAATCCGATTTTTGAAGGAAAATAAAAGTGATCACAGATTAACGTTGTTTAGGCTCTATCTCTTCTAGTTTCCAAAATAAATGGACTTTTATGTTTTCACTCAAAAAATCGATTTTTGATGTGAAAAAATAGATTTTTGATGGGAAATAAAAGTGATCACAGATTAACGTTGTTTAGGCTCTATCTCTTCTAGTTTCCAAAATAAATGGACTTTTATGTTTTCGCACAAAAAATCGATTTTTGATGTGAAAATATCGATTTTTGATGGGTTTAGGTTGTTTAGGCTCTATCTCTTCTAGTTTCCAAAATAAATGGACTTTTATGTTTTCACTCAAAAAATCAATTTTTGATGTGAAAATATGGATTTTTGATGGGAAATAAAAGTGATCACAGATTAACGTTGTTTAGGCTCTATCTCTTCTAGTTTCCAAAATAAATGGACTTTTATGTTTTCACTCAAAAATCCGATTTTTGAAGGAAAATAAAAGTGATCACAGATTAACATTGTTTAGGCTCTATCTCTTCTAGTTTTGAAAATAAATGGACTTTTATGTTTTCACTCAAAAATCCGATTTTTGATGTGAAAATATTGATTTTTGATGGGAAATAAAAGTGATCACAGATTAACGTTGTTTAGGCTATATCTCTTCTAGTTTCCAAAATAAATTGGACTTTTATGTTTTCACTCAAAAATCCGATTTTTGAAGGAAAATAAAAGTGATCACAGATTAACGTTGTTTAGGCTCTATCTCTTCTAGTTTCCAAAATAAATGGACTTTTATGTTTTCACTCAAAAAATCGATTTTTGATGCGAAAAAATAGATTTTTGATGTGAAAATATCGATTTTTGATGGGAAATAAAAGTGATCACAGATTAACGTTGTTTAGGCTCTATCTCCTCTAGTTTCCAAAATAAATGGACTTTTATGTTTTCACTCAAAAAATCGATTTTTGGTGTGAAAATATCGATTTTTGATGGGAAATGAAAGTGATCACAGATTAATATTGTTTAGGCTCTATCTCTTCTAGTTTCCAAAATAAATGGACTTTTATGTTTTCACTCAAAAAATCGATTTTTGATGTGAAAATATCGATTTTTGATGGGAAATGAAAGTGATCACAGATTAATATTGTTTAGGCTCTATCTCTTCTAGTTTCCAAAATAAATGGACTTTAATGTTTTCACTCAAAAATAGATTTTTGATGTGAAAATATCGATTTTTGATAGGAAATAAAAGTGATCACAGATTAACATTGTTTAGGCTCTATCTCTTCTAGTTTCCAAAATAAATGGACTTTTATGTTTTCACTAAAAAAAAATCGATTTTTATGTGAAAATATCGATTTTTGATGGGAAATAAAAGTGATCACAGATTAACATTATTTAGGCTCTATCTCTTCTAGTTTCCAAAATAAATGGACTTTTATGTTTCCACTCCAAAATTCGATTTTTAATGTGAAAATATCGATTTTTGATGTGAAAAAATATAATTTTGATGTGAAAATATCGATTTTTGATGGGAAATAAAAGTGATCACAGATTAACGTTGTTTAGGCTCTATCTCTTCTAGTTTCCAAAATAAATGGACTTTTATGTTTTCACTCAAAAAATCGATTTTTGATGGGAAATAAAAGTGATCACAGATTAACGTTGTTTAGGCTCTATCTCTTCTAGTTTCCAAAATAAATGGACTTTTATGTTTTCACTCAAAAAATCGATTTTTGATGTGAAAATATCGATTTTTGATGTGAAAATATCGATTTTTGATGGGAAATAAAAGTGATCACAGATTAACGTTGTTTAGGCTCTATCTCTTCTAGTTTCCAAAATAAATGGACTTTTATGTTTTCACTCAAAAAATCGATTTTTGATGTGAAATATCGATTTTTGGTGGAAAACAAAAGTAATCACAGATTTTCGTTGTTTTGGCCATGTCTCTTCTAGTTTCCAAAATAAATGGACTTTAATGTTTTTACTCAAAAAATCGATTATTTGTGTGAAATAAAAGTGATCACAGATTATTAATACTTTTTTTTGCACTATAGATTTTTGGTGAGAAATAAAGCTGATCGTTTATAGTAAAAAATGATACTTAGAGATAATCAGATAAGGTTCGACTCAATTATTTAGTATATGTCACTTAATTTGATTCTTATATTTCAAAATCCTAAAAAATTTAAGTAAAAAGTAAAGTTATTTTTCCAATTTTTACATAATTTTCTTTTGCTGTAAAGAATTATTAGCCTTAATATCAAATGGTGACCTACGTACTTTGTTTGTTTACAGAATACATTTAAATTTTTTTATAAAGATCACCAATTATAATAACTTCCATGTTATTATAAACATTAGGGTTAATAATAAGTTGAAAGTTTGGCTTATAGCTAATATAGTTCACCGAATCAATTAACACAGCCTTTAAATTGTAGGGTATACTAAAATAACTTGTTTACCATAATTCTTAAATTTCTTAGTTTTGTTGTTATTTACATATTTTTATTTTCTTCTTTAAAGTAACTGTTTTTTTGCATATGACGTCACACAACAATGAAATAAATAAATATATGTATGTGTAAACTTTTTGCATGTAACAGGTAATAAGAAATTTTAGGAAGCAACAATAAATAATAAGAATAATGAATTTATGTTAGGGATACCATTATATATTATAAGTAATTCCTACATATTATTGTAAAAATATACAAAATGCCCTGTGAAGAAAAATTATTTTAGAGCAAATCGATAGCAGGTTTTCGACTAATTTAAATTACCAAATTAGTATGGATACTGTTGAATTGCCTTTTATTCTTCTATAAAATTGATCCCTGATAATACTCTTGTTTGTTTTCATTATAGTTTAGAAGATAGATGGTGAAAAAGAGGTTAGTAAGCTACAACGTCATTAAATGTGTTAAACTTAACAATTTTATGAAAATTCATTTCTACATACATGCAAAAAGTCTTCTTTCATATAAAGTCTTAAAATAATATATATTTATATCCTAAAAGCGTTTTATTTACCAACAATAGAAATCTAAACTAATTTTCGTAATTATGTCTTAATCATTTTAATTATTTACCAAAGAAACAACGTTTCAAATCCGTAATTACTATGTAAATATTAATGTTTCCCATTAAATTACCCATATAAATAATATCGGCAACTCTAATTTAAGCTTGAAATAAAATCAAGCCTAAATACTTCACATACTTTCAGGCATAACATTAACTTTTTATATTACACACCCGGTTGTTTATTATGGCAACAGGGTGGAACAAATACTTTTCTAAGCCTAAGACTATGCTGTATAATTTTTTGAACTAGAAAAAAACAGCCTGCTGTTTTTCTGAGATTCTGTGAGCCTGGTGTTAAGCGAAAATTTTGAGTTTATAGAAAAATTGACAAATTTCTGTTTGTGTGACGTCACGAGTACAATGAATACGTAGTAAGTAAATGAATATGTTACGAACGAATTTAGAGATAAAACTAGTTATTTTCGTATTTATTTCATATTATTTTTAATAAACTGCAATATAATGTTTATTATAATTGTTTGTTTATTGAATTAAATAAAATTGATTAAAAAACATAAATAAAAACACGCATTTTTAAGCATTTTATTGAAATTTTTATTTTATTAACGAATAATAAATATTTTTTTTATTTTCTGTTTTTTTTTCTGCAGATAAACTACATATTTTCCTTGGAATTTGATATTTATAAGATTATTTGTAATTATTAATACATATATAGGTATGCGTCTTTATTTAAATCATTGTAAAGTAAATTTTAATTACACTAATTAGCAAATTAATGTATATTTATATAACTAATATAAATGTTTAAAACAATATTTATTTTTAATAATTTTATTTGGTTTTACAATATTTTGTTAAATTCATGCTGACCAATCTGTATGCGTTTAAACAGGAAGGCTTTCGGCTGCAACATTTAAGCGATTGATTTGTATAGCTGTGTCACAGGTACCTAAAAATAGAATATTACAATTTGGTTAGATTTATAGAATTTCAAAATCGCATATATCTAAACTTGTTATTACATAGAATAATTAAACATTTAAATTTCAGACCTTATAAAGGGACAAGCAGCAAAAGCAGTAATTTCGGTTTTAATAGTCCGATATAAGCCTTCAGCAAAAATCCTTTAACTCTACAACCAACTATGTATGTTTACTACCAATTATGCCGCCAAATATTACTAACCCCAGCTGTGAAACTGTTTAATATTCACTATATGGTTAGTTGTTTTGTTGCAGGTATAGATAAACTAAGCAGTGGAATGAATGTTTAGTGATTTAAAAAAAGCTATATTTAATGGTGCAGTACACATCAAACATGGAAAATTTAAAATTTCAGATAGTACTAGCTTAAAACAAAAGAAGTACTTTTTTAGGTTTTAAAGTACTAAACTAAATTTCTACTAGACTATATGTATTGACTGTAGAATAGAATATAGTCCAGACTATAGACTAGACTACAGACTAGACTATAAACTAAACTATAAACTAGACTATAAACTAGACTATAGACTAGACTATAGACTAGACTATAGACTAGACTATAGACTAGACTATAGACTAGACTGTAGACAAGAGTATAGACTAGACTATAGACTAGACTATAGACCAGACTATAAACTAGACTAGACTATAGACAAGACTATAGACAAGACTATAGACTAGACTATAGACTAGACTATAGACCAGACTATAAACTAGACTAGACTATAGACTAGACTATAGACTAGACTATAGACTAGACTAGAGACTAGACTATAGACTAGACTATAGACTAGACTATAGACTAGACTATAGACTAGACTATAGACTAGACTATAGACTAGACTATAGACTAGACTATAGACTAGACTATAGACTAGACTATAGACTAGACTATAGACTAGACTATAGACTAGACTATAGACTAGACTGTAGACTAGACTATAGACTAGACTATAGACTAGACCATAGACTAGACTATAGACTAGACTATAGACTAGACTATAGACTAGACTATAGACTAGACTATAGACTAGACTATAGACTAGACTATAGACTAGACTATAGACTAGACTGTAGACTAGACTATAGACTAGACTATAGACTAGACCATAGACTAGACTATAGACTAGACTATAGACTAGACTATAGACTAGACTAAAGACTAGACTATAGACAAGACTATAGACTAGACTATAAACTAGACTATAGACTAGACTATAGACTAGACTATAGACTAGACTATAGACTAGACTATAGACTAGACTATAGACTAGACTATAGACTAGACTATAGACTAGACTATAGACTAGACTATAGACTAGACTATAGACTAGACTATAGACTAGACTATAGACTAGACTATAGACTAGACTATAGACTAGACTATAGACTAGACTATAGACTAGACTATAGACTAGACTATAGACTAGACTATAGACTAGACTATAGACTAGACTATAGACTAGACTATAGACTAGACTATAGACTAGACTATGGACTAGACTATAGACTAGAATATAGACTAGACTATAGACTAGAATATAGACTAGACTATAGACTAGACTATAGACTAGACTATAGACTAGACTATAGACTAGACTATAGACTAGACTATAGACTAGACTATAGACAAGACTATAGACAAGACTATAGACTACTTTGTGGACTATTTATAAAAAAGTTTAAAAGTTAAAAAAAAGTACTAAAAATGTCGTGGGTGTACCGTGGTATTTTTCGTTATCAAAAGATACTAAAGTACTGAATTTTTCATGCCTGATACACTTGTATGTTTGTAGATTTCAACCAGTCATACAATTTCTTCACTCATTCGGACATACATTAATGCATTCTCGAAGTAAATCGATTAAAAAAAGAATTATTTTTGAAAATGTTTCCTTTAGTATAGAAAAAACCGCAACATAGATTCGATGATATTGTATTTCCCAAGTGTATCATAACGGAAAGCCATCATTTGAATGGCAACAAAATCTTTTCTAAAATATTCTTGTTTTGTTTTTCATTTTTGCTTAAAAAAATATTATTACATAGTGTAACCAAACGAGAGTCTAAAAGTTTCATTATTAGTTTCGTTACAGTTTTTTCGATATTTTTGTTTCTTGTTTTTCATATAGAGCAATTGACCATTTACTGGTTCTGCTACAATACACACGTATTCGTTTTAAGTTTAAAAGGATTCACTATATTTTATGTTGGCATCTGTATGTAGAATGTATATGTTTGCCAACGTTTCCGTATTTCGAACGTAGATATGTACAAATGACATAATATGGCAGATGATGTGACTTTATATAATTGCAACTATTAACTTTTCAATGTGAACAAGTAATAAGGAAGAAATACATAAAAAAATACAAACAAATTGTGTATAAAAAACTATGACTAGAAAGGAAAGGATGGTTGGCTGTATAATATGTAGTTATTTGGTTGGTTTTGCAAAAGGATATCAAATTAAATTGTAAACTATTTAAAACAAACCAAATATATGGGACACATCAGTTCAGTTGTGGAGCAGTAAAGAAGTAAAATGCTAGAGAGCTGCTAGTAAAAATTGATGTTTATTTGTTTTGTTGGTAAATTAAATATTTTACAAACAATTAATTTTTAAAGTAAATGTTAAGTTTTACGTTACATTTGCTATAGTTTAAATTTAGTAGTAAATTGATAAAGCATGTTTAAAAAGGATGTTGAGGAAAATTTTATAAGGATGTAAATAAATGGTTTAATTATTTTAAGAATTCCGTTTGATCTTTATTTATAAGAGTTTAAGATACTTTCGTAAGTATTTACATATATAATTATAGGTATATTTGGGGAATTCATGTCAAGTGGCCCAACTTTTGAAACCGATGTCTTCCGATCAGAATGTAACTTCCACCAATGTTATTCCCATGGGATAGTAGTTTAGACACGATTTTTTAACAAGATCGGTTAAGAACACTGTGAGTTACAGTGGGTCAAAGTTTAAAATTTTTTGAAAAACATGTGTTTCTTCTCATTTATTGTTCATAACCAAAATTTGTTCTAAATGGCTTAGATAGGTATTTTTGAAATCTTTAGGAAAAAAATATTTAAAAAAATGTTTGGACTTTTTTTTAGCAAAATTGTTTTTGACATGAAATCCCCCATATAACTCTTTGCTACATGACACGATGTAGTCTTTGAAAAGTAAGATGTGGAATAAGTCATTACCAAGTTTTTGCTGGAGAAGTAAATGGATCAATATTGGTCGTTTCTGCTTTAACGGCTGTATTTATAAAAACTTAGTTTAGGTTTATTAAACAATTTTAGGCAAAATTCAGGAAAATCGTATTTATAAACGTGAAATAGCTTAAAACACCTTCAATAAACCATTGACAATTAGAAGAATTTTATTGTAGGCTCGACCCTTCTTTAAGCCAACAATAAGTTGTTTTTTAACAATTTTTTTCTCAGATAAAGATTTTTCCGGTAATTTTAGGTTGATTGCGAAAACTAATTATGGTTTCTTTTAAAATAAAATCTAAAAATTCTAATTTTAACGTTTACAAATTTGTAAATAAAATCCCAGAAAATTTTTAAACGATTATATTTTGAGGAAAAAACTCAAATCTAGGCATTATTGGATTAATGCATGAATATTTGACAATATTCCAATTGTCCAGCACTATTTTTAGGCAATTTGGAAATGCCCGTCTGTCAACCAAATGATGGACAAAATGATTTGGCTTTTTCCAAGTTTGTTGGTTAAATATAATGCCATAAAGTAATTAACCATGTAAATTATATTGATTAGTGTTATACTAATGCAAAATATATTCGCCGGCATTAAAATTAGTCAAATATCAAAGAAATTTATCAATATTTGCAAAAATTTATCAAAAATTACAAGAAAAATAAGTAAAAATAAGAAAATGTGTCATAGTGATGTATATTTTGTCGCAAAGTATCCGTTATTCGGATACTTTTAATAATAATTAGAAATTATATGTTATATTTATACATCTGAACTAAATAGACATTTATTAAAGCCATATATATATTTATTTTTCTTAAAAGTTTGTTTTTATTGTCAAAAATCTATTATAAACAAAAATATGAAATTAAGAAAACCGAATCAACGAATATTTTATCCTACGCAACACTAACACATAAAATGACAGCCATATTGTACAGTGCTGCCAATTTAAACGTAAATCAGCACAATAGTTAATATACGTTTATTATTTGTTTATGAATATCACAATTTTATTAATGGTTTTTAAGGCTAAAGTGTGCTTTAACTATTGAGTGCATTAAAAACAAAATAAGATTTTTTTATAAATACAAGCGTAAGTCTTTTATAATTAACATCGTTATTCATAAGTCTGTGCTTAAATATAAATATAGATAGATTTTGAGTTTAGACCTTTAAGTTATTTAAGAGAATTAATCGGACTGATGATAAAAACCCAGATATTTTCTATAACAAATAGACTATCACTAAATATGTACATTAGGGTGACCTAAGGTACTGATGTTCCCACAGAAAATACACTACTTGTTTTTTTTATAGACAAAAATAATGCAAAGTAAAAATCTATCATCTTACCAAAGTTTTAAACGCTGAGCTTCAGCTGCTTCTATCCTCAAGCCATTGTCATGCAGTACTTCCTTTGCTCCTCGCTGTGAAACAATCCAAGTCTTATTTATAACAACCTTTAAAAGAAAACAAAAATTAAGAGTTATTATTGTTTTAAATATTGCATTTTTGCCTCCAGATCCACTTTCATATAAAAATCTATTTTGGGCAGAATAGTTGTTTATCACTTTCGGATCAGGTTCAACTGACGAAAACGAAAGTGTTTCTATTTGTTGACGTCAGTTAAACCTGTTTATGTTTAAATGTTGATCAATAAAATTCAAAAGAAAATTTAACAACTAAACTTATTCGAATGAACATAATTTCGAAATTTATTACAAAACAACACTCCAGTTTATTAACAGTTGTCCAAACATCCATTAACAATTGCAACTGATCTTGGAGCTCAAATTCCAAATTAACAGATGTTACAATTTCCAACCTGTAAATACATTTATATTATTAAAAACAACAACATATGTACATTATTAAATTTATTACAAAACAATTTATTATAAAAATTCAAGACTCCATCGATTATATGCAATGAAATAATAATACAAATTTAACACGACGAACTGAGATTAAAATAAAATACGAAAAAAAGTTACAAATTGATATCATCCTTAAAGTAATCTTAATGAACAAATGTGTTAAAAAGCTTATTAAAAAAAAAGTGAATTAAAACTTAACGAATGAAAAATGAGACAAGTACTTCTTAAATGTCTTGACTTCACATATTAATTTTGCTTTACATTTCATTCACTTTTTAACCAATTAAGAAGAAAATAAAGTAAAACAAAACATAAAAAAAAAAAATTAAATTAAATGAAAATCATTGCATACAATATAGAGAGTAAGTAAAAATGAAATTGTTTGCTCAATCATCCTCATCATCATCGTCTATGACAGCAACACGGCGTCGTTTAGCTGGTTCCTCACCAATCACTGAAGCACGTTGTTCGTTTGATGATGGTTTTTTGCGTTTTAGAAATTTAGCATCCTCGTCCTCATCATCCTCTTGCTCCATCTCGGCTGTATTGTCTTCATCTAGGGAACGTTGACGTTTTTTTGTAGAAATTTTAGACGAGGAGTCTTTTATATTGTCGCCTGTTTGTTGTTTTTTAATGGATTTAACACTATCATCATCGGCATTATTGTTGTCATCATCATCATCAGTGTCGTTGAAGGCTTGTTTATCTCTGTTGTTGGCTTTATTAACATTGTCAACAACATTGCCATCAGCATCATCAGAATCGGATTCAATTACATTGGCACGGCGGGAACGATTGCTTAATGTTTGTTGTTCATTGTCCTCATCATCATCCACCTCGTCATCATCGCCCAATTCAGCTAAACGTTTGCGATAATCCTCAGAATTGAAATTTAAATCAACATCATCCTCTTCACCTGTATTATCCTTTTCGGCCATCATATCTTTAAGATTAATTTTACTTTTGGCTCGTTTGGCCTTTAATTGATCAAATAAATCGGTTGTATCGGGCTTGACCATTTCCTTTTCTTTAGGTTTTTTAAATGTTCCTTCTCCATCATCTTCTTCACTGCTCAAATCATAGTTGCGTTTCTTTTTATCTAACTTCTTTTTTATTTTATCCACCATTTCGGTATCCTCCTCAGAATCAGAGTCTTGCTTCTTTTTTTTAGCTTTGGTTTCCTTTTTGGTTTTACTCTTCTTTTTCTCTTTTAAAGGAGCACGTTCTTCAGTCTCTTCATCACTTTTGCTAAACATTAAGTTTTTCATTTTCTCCCTTTGCTGATCCATATAATTTTCCAAATTATCCAACTTCTTACGTTCCTTGGCCATACCCAAAGTCTCCAAATAATCTTCCTCACTTTCATCACCATCGCGATTATCAACATTTTCTTCGGCGCTTTCATTGTCCGTTCCATTGTCTTCATCTTCCAAATCTTCCACATCGATATTTACCTCTTCGCCAGCCACAATTTTAGCTCTTAATTTCAAATCAGCCGAATTCAAATAAGTGGGTATACGCCAATAGCTTTCCATGCCAAAGACAGGGGGCTGTATGCCCAAAGCTACCAAAACCTTTTTGAAATCTCCATCTTCCATGGCTTCTTTTTGCAACTCTTGCAAGGGTACCAAAGGAACACCATCATCTTCTTCTGCCGGTTCATCAGTATCATCAGCAGCATCATCCAAACATTCTTTAAGCCAATCAATAGCTTCTTGGTATTTTTCGGCATCAACTTGCCCCAATAAAGCTCTTACCGTGCCCACATCTAGCGGAGTACGTACTATCTTGCGTGCTTTAGCTTTGGCTGGTTTCTTAGCCTTACTTTGTCGGGATGTGCTTGGCCTATCAGTTCCATCAAATGTTGGTTCTTCCATAAATTCATATTCATCATGCTCTCCTCCTTCCTCTTCTCCATTTTCCATTTGTTTCTTGGATTTGCGTTTACGAGGCTTTTGGGGTAGAATTTCCGATTTATCAGCGATAATATGTAATTGCAACATTCTTTTGATTATAGCTTGCTTGTTGCGCCGTTCGGCGAATTCGTCTAGGATACGTTGAAGACAATCTGTGGGGATATGTATTTAAAGATTATCTTTTCTTAGAATGATAGTTAAATTTGTAATTTTGACACTTACCATCTTCAGTTCGATACTGATCGTAAAGACTGCGCAGTTCTTCATCTTCTTCCGAGCGCCATAGATTTTTGTTGTGGGCATCGGCAGTGGACTTTTTGGTTGGTGCCTTAAACTTTAAACCCAATTCTTTAAGTTTCTTTAGGACTCCTCTCCTGGTGCGTGTTCTGTCACCAATATTTTCTAAAATCCAGTCAATGACATCTGTAGAAAAAAAAGAGAAGGGAATCTTTAGTTGTTGCTAACGTATAAAATTATCGAATTCATTTATCGTCAAACGATTTACTGATCAAAAACTTTAAACCTCTTCAGACCTCTCATTAGACTAGACTATAGGCTACACTATAGACTATAATATAGATTATTGACTAGACTATAGACTCGACTATAGACTAGACTATACAGTCTATAGACTAGACTATACAGTCTATAGACTAGACTATACAGTCTATAGACTAGACTATAGACCAGTCTATAGACTAGACTATAGATTAGACTATAGACTAGTCTAGAGACTAGACTATAGACTAGACTATAGACTAGACTATAGACTAGACTATAGACTAGACTATAGACTAGACTATAGACTAGACTATAGACTAGACTATAGACTAGACTATAGACTAGACTATAGACTAGACTATAGACTAGACTATAGACTAGACTATAGACTAGACTATAGACTAGACTATAGACTAGACTATAGACTAGACTATAGACTAGACTATAGACTAGACTATAGACTAGACTATAGACTAGACTATAGACTAGACTATAGACTAGACTATAGACTAGACTATAGACTAGACTATAGACTAGACTATAGACTAGACTATAGACTAGACTATAGACTAGACTATAGACTAGACTATAGACTAGACTATAGACTAGACTATAGACTATACTATAGAATAGACTATAGACTAGACTATACTCTAGACTATAGACTAGACTATAGACTAGACTATAGACTAGACTATAGACTAGACTATACTCTAGACTATACTCTAGACTATAGACTAGACTAGACTATAGACTAGACTATAGACTAGACTAGACTAGACTATAGACTAGACTAGACTATAGACTAGACTATAGACTAGACTATAGACTAGACTAGACTATAGACTAGACTATAGACTAGACTATAGACTAGACTATAGACTAGACTATAGACTAGACTATAGACTAGACTATAGGCTAGACTACAGACTAGACTACAGACTAGACTACAGACTAGACTACAGACTAGACTACAGACTAGACTACAGACTAGACTATAGTACTAGACTAAACTTCAGACTACCATGTGGAATACATAAATTTAAAGTACAAAAATCTTTAAATAAAATTCTTTCCAAAATTGATATATGTATGTAAATACTCATTACTCAGTTTCGTTGCAGCAGTACTCAAAGAGCATCTAGATACTAGATAACTAACTGGATCTTGATGACTTCTAAATCTGTAGGCAAACTGAAAAGCATCTTAATGTCATCTTAAAAATGAAGCCATATAAATGATGTTAAAGATTATTTAAACCTTAAATGATAGTCATTAAAGGATTTTACTCAGTAAGCCTTTTTTGTTTGTCACTTTTAAAAGCAAACTTTTGGTTTAGCTGCAGTAAAAGGACATACAATAACATAAAAAAAGTTCGTAAATTGGTTGGTATGTGCTTCGTTTTTAACAATAAATTTATTTTTATGGATAAAAATAAAAATTTCAACCATACTACCAGACACATAACAATTAATCTTGGACATATTGGTGAAATAAAAATGTCAAAACATTAGCAGACGACAGACTTTAGAAAAAAAGGACCAACAGAAAAGATTAAGGGAGAGAGAGGGAAAAATAGCATTATACACACACACATACTGAAACAGAATCCTCATCAATTGGTGTTATTAAGAGGAAAACAAATGAAGGCAACTGCTGACTATGGCGACGATGATGACGATGACGACGACGTTGTTGTTGTTGTTGGGTTGATTGCAAAGCGATAATAAAGAAAATTATTTCAATCATGAAACTGTCAACACATTGAAATTGACTTGTTAAATCAATCACTTTGGATTTGGAAACCAAGCTAAAGCACTTAAAAAATATGCCAACGGCAAAATGAAGTTCACAAAACAACAGGACACTGCAGCAATAAGAACAACAGCGACATTAATAAAGGATTTTGTCACACCAACAGCAGCAACCTTTTCTCATCATCATCATTTCATCTTCTATAGTTTTTTTTTTTTTTTTTTGCTTTAAAAAAGTAGGAAAAAATTGCCCCAGAAGTAGAGTGGGTTTGAAAAAGTTGCTCTAACCTCAACAAATTTGAATTTTTAAAAGGCATTTTGCCTTCTGGTTAAATGACAGAGAAGGAAGAGTGTTTAATCATGGAATTGTAATAAATTTAATAATTTTTAATAAATAAACTTTTTAACAAAATTTTAATTCACAGAGGCAAATTTCAAACAATTCTCTATTTTTACAAAATTTTCCAAAAATTTTCTACTCTTCGTAATATTGACTTTTTTAAAACTTCGTTAAGTTTACCTAGTTTTGGGAAACATTTTGTTTGAGAATTTGATTTAAATTTTTGAAATTTTTTTTTAATTTTATAAGTTTATTTATATTTGTAGAAAATATTTGCATTTTATCCAGTCAATGTAAATTTAAACTTAATGAAGTCATACGTTTGAACACCCCTTAATAGGCAGGTTTTGAAAGCAAAAAGGAAAACTTATAAAAAACATGATTGTAAGACTTACCCTTGTCAGTTTCAGGATTTCGTTGATTCTCTTCAAATAGAAAACGTAACTCTGACTCTTGTTCTTCAGTCCAGGTTCCTTTGGTGCCGCTGAAAACAAGAAACAAGAAATGTAAAAGATGAAAAAATAATGCAACAAAAAGAATAAGTAATCAAATAAACTGATTCGTTTTTTCCTTTTTTCATATTTGTTAAACAAAAGATATAAAAAAATAAAAAAAGTAAGAAGGGAGAAAGGAGTGTTATTTTATTTACAATCATTCATCATCATTTTCATTTAAATGTTTTTATGAGATAAAAAACACACACTTCAAATGAAAGAAAATAACGCAAATCCTTGTCTGCAATCACATCATAATCAATCTACTTGGCCAAAACAAGAAAAATAGGAAGGAAAAGGAAAATTACAAATTTGTTGGTACCCACATTAAAAGAAGACGGTCGGTCAGGTCCAGCTGGTCTTTGTTCATAAATTTAATACTCTTTCATACAAATCGAACAGAAAGATAGAAAAAAAAAAACCTAAAATGAAATTAAAATTTGCCTCAAGGATGACCTAAATGATCAGCCAAAGTGAAAGTGTTTAAATGAAATGAATAGAGTTAAATTCAGTTTGAATATCTTTATGTTTCAGTGTGTGTGTGAGACTGGCTGACTGAACAATTTAAAAACTGAATGGGTATCATTACAAATAAACGTAGATATACTTACGATTCATAGGCATCACAGTAGCCACTTTCCAGTTCATTTGCTTCTTTAATCGATTTATAGAACAACAATTCAGCGTAGATTTTTGGATTATTTGGTGCGGTTTCCACAAATTTACGTACAACAAAAATTCCCAAACGACGCAATTCCTCATGATGTGCATCACGACCAGCGTGGAAAACTTGTTGAAAGATACGAAATAGTTTGGCCTAAAAATAAACGCATAAAAGGAAAGAGTTGCTTAAAATATATGTAGTTTTAACATGATTTTTTCTTTATTTTTTACAAAGGGTTTTTTTGGGAACAAAATTTTTAAAATTTGTTAAGGATTTACATATTTTTTTTATTGTTATCTTAAGGTGTTGCATTATACTCGCCATTTAAACCTAAATTAAATAATCTGATTAGAAAATAAATTACTCGGAAAAACAAGCAGAGAAGCAGAAAAAAAGGTTGAAAAAGGTTGATATTGGTTGAATTCGGTGCCTTATACAACTCGATCATTCTTTACAAAAATTGGCTCAACTAATGTTTATATAGGATTTTCATAATGATCGGTCCATAACTGAAGTATGTTCAGTATAAATATTTGTATAGGTAAATATACTCTGGAGATACTAAAATTGAAACAAGAAAGAAATTGCAGTCGGGATGGCCATATGATACCCTACACCAGTTATTTGAAAAAAATATGAATTATCATTCATAATAAAGCATTTATGTTGAATTGTACCTTGCCACCGATATAGATATATATTAAAGCAATTGATTGATGAAAACCAATTTTCTGAAAGAGGCTTTAAATGAGGGCTGGGGTAAATTAAGGACCGATCCTCATAAAATTCGGCGAATGGATTGACGTTTATATAGAATATATTTATTTCGAGACATTAGTCTTTTAAGCGAATTATGGACAATAAGGTAATTTTGAGAATGGGGATTTGTATGAGGCCTAGGGTCAAATGAGGCCCGATCATTAAAAATTCGTAAGGGTCACCAAGGATAGTATAAAATTTAGTTGTCGAAATACGAGTATATTAAATATAATTATGAGCTAAAAAGCCAAAATCGGAGGGTTCGTTGTATGGGGGCTAGGTGAAATATTGGACCCATTTGAACCGAAATTAATTAAGTCATTTTGTGAATGGGGCTTTGTATGTGGTCCGATCATTAAAAAAATTCGGAAGGGTCATCAAGAATAGTATAAAACTTAGTTGACGAGATACGAGTATATTAAATATAATTATGAGCTAAAAAGCCAAAATCGGATGGTTCGTTGTATGGGGGCTAGGTAAAATATTGGACCCATTTGAACCGAAATTAATATCGTCCTTAGACCAAAAGCATTACGCGTGCCAAATTTGAATTATCTTTAAAAATATGACCTGTATTTTGTTTACAAAGATTACATGGAAGGACGGACATGGCTAAATAGACTCAGATAATGATTCTAAGCCGATTGGCAACTTAAAGCTGTAGGTCCAAGTGTGTTACAACATCAGCACAAACGTATAATACCCTCCCCACTAAAATGGTGGCATAATAAGGTACAAAAAGATTGAGCTGCACTTAATCCGAAGTTTTTGAGATATCGTGTCCTTCTTTTTTGAGCATATTTAAGACGTTATAATAGCACGAGGAAAGTTCAATCAGTCGACTTCAAAATAAAGGTTTAACCTCTGTTATGTGTTCTTATATATTCGAGATATCCTAACCCAAAGCTTAAAAGTACTATTTCGATATAACCTTTATTTGACGGCAAGAACTTCACATGACGATATCTCATTACAAAAGACTTTTAAGCAAAACATTGCAATATTTTTTCCCAAATTGAGACATAAGTTTGTTATAAAATACAGGCGAAACAAAATAATTCATTTAATTTATCCCAAAAGAAGATTTTCGACCAAATTCGAAGCATTCGCGGCATTCGAGTATCAAATATGCCGGACCTTTTTAAGGTATCCTTTACAATCCTTGCATAAAGGTAACTATATTAAGCAAAATAGTAGACGTTTGCAAAATGAAACATGTCTTAGCGAATACGTGCCATTCTTAATAATAATTTTTACATTAAAAATATAATTAAAAACCCCGTTGTTTTGTATAATGACATAAAAAATTAGTTTTTTGACATCTTAAGGCAAGAATAGAAACAATAAAAAACAATAGAGCAACAAACTTTATTTAAACATATAATAACTACAGAATATAGTGAATACAAAAAGTATAACTCCACTACGCTTATTAAGCTTTAAGCTTAATATCAATTTAAAAATGGCTTAACCTCAACTATTAAATGAAAGAAAATTCATAGAGGACTAATTACGGTACTGGTTCCCTGGGGATAGTGCTAGCACTAGTAGCAATGAATAGTGAGCAAATGAACTCAATTAAATTAATAAATTATATTTTCTACTTAGGAACATTTAAATCTTAAATAACAGGCCATTAATATTAATACAAACTGTAAATTTTATATTCTTCCTTTTTCTTTCATTATTTTCAAGACAATGCAATATACTTCCTGTTGCACATACACAGATTTAATAGTCAAACAAAAAGGCAGTCAGAGACAGTGGTGTTGCAGCAGTTGCAACGAACACCAAGCAACAATGGAGGAAAAGTCTATGGTGATGAGGACAACGATGAAGATGATGATGGTGATTTTCTTTGCTAATGAAATTAATTATAACGGAAATGAAAAAATAAAAAAGAAAATGTTACAACAAATACATAAAGAAAAATCTTTAAATTATAATGACTCATTTCATTTCAAAGAAATGGGAATGAAAAAATCATCACAGACTGCATTATGTGCTATTGGAGGAAGGATTAAAATAAAAAAATATATAATTTTCTACCAAATATTCTTCTACTTTGTCTCTAATTGTAATTTGTATTTAGTTTTTTTTTTTTTTTTTTTTTTTGTAACACAAAACTCTGTTACAGCTTCGTATGATTTAGACAACCTTGAATTGGATTTAACAAACAGCAGCATTATGTAGTAGAAACCAAGAGAAGTTATGATGATTTATGAACCCAAAATGTATATTTTTAATGGTTTTTATTATAATTCCCTTTTTTTTTCTGGTTTCTTAAATATCAACATAAATTATAAAAGTAAATTAAAATTTTTGCAATTTTATTTTCTAGTTGAAAAAATAAATCCTGTTGTTTTTGTTTCTTACCCTATATGCAGTAATATTTAGCATTATAATGTTAATGCTTAGGCAATATAAACAAATGACTTCTATTTTTTTGGAAAATTAATTTAAAAACAAGTCATTGTAGGCTGAGTTACCGATCCATTCCGTATGATATTCGGTAGAGAGATTTACGTTCCTATAAAAGTTGCTTATATCGAATTTCATAACTTTACTCGTATTTTTAATGCAACAATGAGCGTTAAAGTGATTTTCTGAAGGGACCTATTATGAACCGATCCTAATAAAATGTCGTAGAACGATTTTGCTTCACACTGAGCTTTTCTATGTCGAATTTCATCGATACACTCGACAGTTATGGGAGTTAAAGTAATTTTCTGAAGGGGACCTTATATACCGATACCGATCCTCATAAGATTATGTAGAGATATTTTGGTTCATATAAAACTTGTCTATGTTACATTTCATCGCTATACTTGAACTTTTTAAACAATTAAGGCTGTAAAAACTGTTTTCCGGCGGGCCACTTGTATGGGGGCTATACGAAAATTGGGACCGACATAGCCCATTTTAAATTTCAAACAAACCTTACCTCTAGAGAATATTTTTGTAAAATTTCAACCGTTCGGACCGTATCACGCTTTCAACAGGCAGACAGACGGACGGTCATGGCTAGATGGTCTTAGAATTTAATCATGACCCAGAATATATGTATATACTTTTGTGGTTCTACGACCAATATTTCGATGTATTGCAAACGGAATGACCAAATCAATATACCCCGCATTTTTATGATAGTGAGTTGTATCTTGAACACAAAGTTCCTACATGAATTAAAGGTCATTCAAATATCTTTCTTTTAATATACATATTGGGTATTTAATGTCAAATGACCCAGCTTTTGAAATCAATGCCTTCCGATCGGGATAAAATTTACACTAAAACAAAATCGGTCAAAACCTCTTTGAGTTACAGTAGGTCAAAGTTTGAAATTTTTTTCATGTATTTTGTTTAATAGCTATTTCTTCAATATTTCAGATAATAGAATAGAATTACAGAAGATTTGGATTTCGAAGGGTCTTCAGATTCCGAATATATATGCGTTATAGCGTCGGAAATAACAATCGGAATGAAAAACATACATAAGTTTGTCATTCTAGGGTTATAGCCAAAATGAGGACCTATCACTACTGACTACAACGAAAACCTGTTTTCGGATCAATAAAGTGCTGTCGACTTTCTGAAATCATTCACCAAATAATTTACCCAAATTTTTTTAATAGTAAAATCCATTTGGGTACTTAAACTGGAGGAGCGATTTCCGACTTAGTAGTTCGATTTTAGAAATTTTACAATTTTGTTGAGAGTAACTTCAAAAACTTTAAAGCATTTGCCGCGGAAACTATTTCGCGCGTAGGGCCGTTTTGAAATTTTCAAAAATTCTATAAAAGTTATAACCCCAATATATATCCTTCTCACGAAAGTGAGAATATGACTTGATAAACAAGGATCGAATTATCAACTACATACATATTTCTAAATATAAAAATTCCCATTTTAAAACATTATTTCGTCCTGCAATACTTTCCTCTAAATAATAAAAAATAAATACACTTAAAATCTCTTTAAATCATTAAAAAATGTTTTCATAAAATTTACAGCTGCTTATAACAATTTTGATATAACAAAACTAATATCTTTTGTAGGGTATTTACAAAATGGCTAATTTGAGTGGCCATAATTTCCTTATGGCTCCCTTTAAATTTTCCTAACTGCGAATAATTGGCGAAAAGTGGTGAAATAAATAAAGGAAAGTAAGTGGTGTGAGGTGGCAAAATAAAAAAGTCTGGGCAAATCTTTTTAGGAGCCTAAAAATTTATAATGTCTGCTGCCATTGTTATACGGATTTTTTTTCGCCACTTTTTACATCTTTTGATTTCTGTTGAAGCTGTTAATGGTTAAAGTCGTTATTGTTTATTTCACTGGATTTTGCCAGCAAAACAGCAAAAGCAAGAGATTAAAAGTTCAAGTTCATTTAATTTGTTCAAAAGTCCTGAAAAAAAAGAAACGCCAACAGCTAACGATGAGAAGAAACAAACATTAAAACCAAACAACATTGCAATAGGACAAAAAAACAAGAAAACAGGCATTAAAATCTAACTAACATGTGGCTTTAAATTTTATACTCTATTTGCCCAAAGCATCAAAATAAGCAGCTGATGCTGTTTTATAGGTTGTATATACTATACTAGCTAACAGTTACTTCATGGTCCTAACTTTAAACAACCATTCATTCATTTGTACGATTATAATGTCTAAAAATGATGAAGGCGGAGGGCAGGAGAACTTAAGGAACCCAGGCACTGTGTTTGAGGTGTTTTATAATTGGTAAGTTGGCAATTTTTGAATGCGCGTTTTTATGTACATGACGTTGATTTATGTTTATTTTGCATGCAGTCATAGAAAAAAGTAATGTTATAAAGCATAAGAAACAAAAACGGAAGAAAAAAAAAATACATTTTATATTGAGCATACGGAAACGGAAATACCTTTACACTTGTATAAACAAATAAACATCGACACTCACACACATACACAGCTAATCCATTGCAAAAACACCTATAATTTCTAACGAAAGAGAAGAGATTTTAAACCAGCAGCAGTTTTGCTAACACCCTGATTTTACCTTTCTACACATTTAAAGCTAACTACTCTTCTAACAAAATATATAGGGGCAGTTTTTTTATATTTTGCTTTAGCTCTCTAGCTTCTTTTGCCAGCCATTTTAGTCAAAACATAAAGAGCGCTTATCCTTAACAACACAAACCTACTACACAAAGAACGATATATTTTCAAAAGAATCCCTATTTTCAAAGGAAAATAAATAATACAAAAAGACAGATATCCTTTAAAGCTTTAGGTTTATGAAATGAGTATGTAGTAGCAAGTGCCAAAGACTGTTACATAGTTAAAACACCCGTAGTAAACTCACCTGATAAAGCATGGCCGGACATGAGCATCCATAGGCAATACGATGTAGTATGGTTACAGCTGCTTTTAGGGATTTTGTTGGTATTTGTTCCCAATCAGAAAGTACCACAACACAAGCACGAACTATTTTTGGATTTAGTAATCTGTAAATAGAAATGAATTCCATGAGTTATGACAATACACTGGGAAAATAATGTTTGTAAAATAAAAATTAGTTTTAAGATCATTATTTTCTTCAATATGTAATAATTATAAAAGTTTATCTGGATTTTGAATTCTGAGGTAGATAAGTTAACCGATATATAATGGAAGCCTTAAGTAAGTATATTAGCAGTTTCCAAATTGCTACGAACCATTTAAGAAGAAGATCGAAAACCATTAGGCATCAACCAAGAAAGTCCAATATTTTTAACATTAACATAATTTCCTATAATTCCCAAAGTGTTTATGTGAATATGTGTTATAAGAGGTAACAAAATACGACTAGCAAAATCTAAAATCAAAGTACCGGGTTCAAAATTCTTACTCCTTGTTAATATAGAAGTCGAAGCCAGCCGTTACTTGATGGCGAATTAAAGAAATTTTCATTTCCGAAAACACCGATACCTTACAGCCTAACCTTAGCACACATGTATTTAAACACAGCCGTACTAGAGAGATTCGAGGCAAGATCAGCGATCTTAAGATCACTAGAAATAGAGTAAATCAGAAGGCATAAAATCCTAAAAATATGTTACCGGCTCTATTGTCATTGACATGCCTTTGCTCAAGGCGAAAATATCAGGATGTTGATGTGGTTATTATACTCTACTCCACTTTAGTGGGGAGGGTATATCGAGTTTGTGCTGATGTTTGTAACTCACAATAATATTGGTCCTATACCTATACTTAAAGTATACCAATCGGCTTAGAATGATTTTCTGAGTCGATTTAGCTATATCCGCCATGTAAACCTTCTAATCAAACTACAGATTGCAATTTTTAAGATAATTCAATGAAATTTGGTACGTGATCTTCTATTGTTCCAGGGACGAAGTCTGTTGAAAATGGTTATGATCGCACTATTACTTTACCTAGCCCCCAAACAACTAAAACCCCGAAAAGGGCTTGTAAACCTTGCAATCAATGTACAGGTCGAAATTTTGAAGATAATTCAAAAAATTTTGCACATAATCTTCTATTGTACTAGAGACGAATCCTATTGAAAATGGGTAACATCGGTCCAATATTTGACCTAGCCCACATACGAGTGAACCCCCGAATAGGGCTTTTAAGTTTATAATTATGTTTAATATACATACTCGTATATCGACAAAAAGCTGCAAAACCAAGTTATATAATAGCATTGATGGCTGTGATGAATTTTTTGATGATAGGACGCCATTTGACCCTAGCCCCTATACAAAGCCCCCCTTCGAAATATAACTTAAATGTACACAATTTTATTCAACAAAAAATGGATAAAGTAAGTATATCTCAGGCAAGGTACAGGACAACTTAAATGATTTATTATGAACACTAATTCACATTTTCTAATTATAATTGGTGTAGGGTATTAAATGGTCGGCCTCGGAGCACTATAATTACTTGTGAGGCTTAAAGTTTTTAAAGTTCTATTGTACTATAATATTACCAGAATAAAATGTATGACGATTACTTCTCCAAAATTTTTCAGTTGAGTATGGGAAGTTGATTACCCAAACCTGGTTTCTAAACTCTGTTTACGGAACACAAGACCTACAAACTGACAAAAAAATTACTTAAAACCAACATGATGGCCTTGAAACTATCATTTTTCCTCTAGTGTATAACACTATTACCATACCTTATATCCACACTAATATACAAAGGTAAAAATTTTCTAAAGATACGATTTTTTTAAATGGTTATTAATCATTTTAAGTAGTCATAGAGAATGAAAAAATGAATTCTTTACCTTTTTCAGAATTCAGTTTATGTGCATAAAAGGTAGGAATCTATTTTAACAAGTCATATTTTGTTTTCTTTTTTTTTTCGAATTTCCCTTAGTTGCAAATGTTAACCTTGATTGTAAATGACTGAAGAAAGGATACAAAAAAAAGAGAACTAAATTACTTAAAACTGCATAAAGGAAGCTCATAATTTATAGTACTTATATTTATTGAATTAATGGAAAATTGAAAGAAAAAAATATTTATATAGAAAAGGTAGACGATGTATATATACAAATAAAATTTGAATATGTTTTTTCCCAGAACAATTTAAAGTTAAAAGAAAATTATTGCCCAAATATTTTTTATTTATTAAAAAATCATAAATTCTTTGAGATTTTTACTTGAGAATTCTTAGCGCGATAACTGTAGGAGAAGAAAATGGGAGTAAATGCAATTTTTAGAAATTAATTATGGTATTCTTATGTTCAAATATGCTATTAAAATCAAATCATGCAAAATTATGCTCTTGTGAGTAAAATATGCAAAAATATGCGCTTAACGTGAGTTAGTTAGTTAGTTAGTTTGAAAGGAGGATGTATATACATCAAATCCGAAGAAATACACCTAGGCCTCTATCGGGCCTGTTGTGCGCTCCTTAACCAGTGCCTCAGGTGGGAATCGAACCCACCACCTCCGGTCTACCAGTCTAGAACACTAACCACTAACCTACCGGAGGCCACCTAACCTACCGGAGGCCACTTAACGTGAGAAAAAATAGTTAACATTTTTTCTTGGGTATTTCTGGTCCGCAAATCGACTTTTAGTGCAATATAAGGGTCACATAATAATAATAAAAAATTCTGAAATGGAACTAACTTAAATAATGACAAATATTTTTCTGTAAAAACTAATAATTACGTCAGTTTTGACACTTATTCCTATAAAAAGCGAAAATAATAAGGCACTTAAATCATTTTGTGGACCAAAAATATCTTAAAAATATTTCGCAATTAGTTTTCCTGTAATCAGCTCAAAATTACGAAATTTTTGAGACCCATTTTGAAAAGATTGCGGACAATTTTTTAAAATATTGTAATAAGATCACCACAACGGACCAATTTCAAAAGATGGTTCTATTAGAACTTTACTGGAAGTCTTAAGTCACATACATATGTATATGTATATACTAGCTATACCCAGTGTGCATTGCCACTTTAAGACTCTAGCTTTAATAGTTTCCCAGATATACGAATTTTTGTACATAATTCATAAGGAAGGTGATAGGCCCCCATAATAAAAGTCCGCCCATTTTTCTCCCAAATGTTCAAATGGATGTTAAAATTCTTCGTACAAAATTTAAAGATTCTAGCTCCAATAGTTTCCTAGATAAACGAATTTCTGAATTTAATTTATATAAGAGGTACCACGCCCCTAAAATCGAGTCCTCCAATTTATTACCCAAATATTCACATGGATGTCACAGAAGTTCGTACAAAATTTAAAAATTTTAGCTCTAAGAGTTTCTCATATATAAGAATTTTTGTATTCAATCAATATGGGAGGTGCCAGACCCCTTAAAAAAGTCTGCTCATTTATCTAAGATTTCATCTTTAATAGTTTCCCAGATAAACGAATTTTAGTATTTGATTCCTATGGGAGGTGCAACGCCCCCTATTTCTAGTCCACCCATTTTTTGTCCTAGGACTCTAGCTGTTATACATTATCAGATATACTAATTTAAGATTTTCTTTGTATGAGAGGTGCCTCGCCCACTGTAGATAGACTGCCCATTTTATCCTCATGTATTCATATGGATGTCAAAGTTGTCCATATAATATTTGAGTTTCTGAGATATGCGACTTTTAATACTTATTTTGTATATGGGCGTGGCACGCCGCCCAATTAAAATTTTGAAGAATTTCAGAAAAATCGGTGCAGCCGTTTAGCTGTCTATTAAGTACAAACAAACATACATACAAACACACATTCATTTTTATATATGTATATGTAGATAAATCGCAGAAATCGAGCAACTTTTATGTTTTGACTTTTGTCATTCTAGATTGGACAAATGTGGCGCTGTTTTTATTTTTCTTCTGTTCAGTTCATTAATACGTATCGATTGCCGTTCTAAATGGGGCAAATGTGGCGCTGGTAGAGAACAGTTTTTATTTTCCTTGTGTTCAGTTCATTAATAGGTATTGATTGAAAGTATTCCTACATGAGATTCTCAAAAAGGCAGTTCCTCGGGGCACTCTAATGTACATAATACATGTATGTTTGTTAATCTGCGACCAAAATGTTTTGAATTTAGTTCCTATTAAACTTTGATAGATACAAAAAAAGTTGAGACATATCTTCACCACTTATACACTGATTTCATTTACTTTGATAAAATTTTATACTTTTCAACCCAAAAACTTCTGCTTAGAGTGAAACTGTCAGTAATAATGATGGTTTATTCTTTTTTTTATAATTTTAGAAAACCATTACAAAAATAAGTTTCTACACTCCTTCCCGAAAAACACTAAAAATGTTCTAAAAGGGAGTTGTTGTGGAAAAGAAGAAATAAAACAAAAAGAAAACATTAAGCTCGGGGGAACTAATTAGAGATTAACGTAAAAAATTACTCATACTTTTGGAGAGAATGTGAGTATGATTGTTGCTGTTAAATTATTTTTCCGATGTCTTGTACGAGTGCTTTAGCTGCTAATTGTTGTTGTTTAGTGGTTTCATTAAGAATTGTTGTTATTTTTGGTTTGTGTTTCATTTTAAAAGTTTTAATTTTTATTTTATTTTTGTTGCTGTTGTTATTTTTAGGGACCTCCCTACAAACATTTTCTATTGCGGAAGTTACCCGTGTGAAACTTCCAAACGTGCTAAAAGCTCGCCAGCGATGTTGCGGAAGTATAAGAATTCTTGTCACCAGTCGGGAAGAACTGATGCCGAGCTGGGGAACGTCTAATAGTAACTTGGAAGATACTTCTGGAAGACCCGCAGAAGAAACTTCTAGATGACTCTTGGAAGTAAGGTATTGCCAAAGACTCTTCTAGATGTGACTAGGAAGTCACTTCTTGAAGTGACTACCTAGTATCCTCTAGAAGTGTTCCTATCTTATCTTCTAGAAGATGAGTTTTCTCTTCTTCTAGAAGAAGAGTATTCTCTTCTTCTTGAAGATGAGTATTCTCTTCTTCTAGAAGATGAGTATTCTCGTCTTCTAGAAGATGAGT